TTACGTCGTTTGTTGAAGGCGAAGGCGCTGCAAGGTGATCGTAAGCTTTAAAGTTTTCATTTGCTTATGTAACATGTTTTATTATTATTTTTTGCATATGCATAAATAAAATACGAAAGTCATCGGCATTTCGAGACCCACTTGGTTCTTCTACATTTTTCGCATGTGACGTAGCAGCACCACTGAAACTTACACCTGCAGTTTTCGATGCTCGTCTCTCTGTACTGGTAGTAACCACGGCCGCAGCAGAGGAGGTCGCAATCACCGACACTTTTTGTCTCGTTCCTGATGTTGCACGTCCTGCCACTGGTGCCCAGGGTTTTGATCGCGTCTATGCGGTCACAGAAGCTCGGCGACTGCTCAAAGTACACAAGTTCACTCGACCTGATCTTCTGAACCACGTGACGGGAATCGTTTGGCGAGTTGTTCTGCAACAGGAACCTTGCCGTTTGCATTTTCCGCCAGAGGTGGGTGCCAATGTTCCTTAAATCAGCAGTCGTTTTCCAGCAAGTCTTTATCTGGCAACTGCCAGACATTCCGTGACACTTGCAGGTTTTCCGTAGAGTCCTCTTTACGGCCTAAATGTGCATCACTCAAATGCAACTCTTAAGCCTATCAGTTTCTGTAGTACACACTGGTGACAAGACTCGAAAGTATGACTCAAATCTCGCATCTATCGATGATTAAATCCTGCTGATTAGATTCAATTCAGTGCAAAGCATATGTCAAAATTACGCTATACCGTTTCAAACTTTTGGCTGGATTCACTGATAAACTTCTAGAATAGAGCCCTACCCGAAGTTATTCTTTAAGAATGCATGTTGCTTTGATGGACTGCTCTTGGACCTTGCAATAAATCCTTCAAAAAGAAATGCTGAAGTGGGCAAAACCTACTAGTTTTTAAACCGAATCATAGTTTTGCTATGAAACAGTCTTAACTGTTGTAAAATATGGTTTTGAGCTCTCTGTAACGAACATTTCACCGTACTGGTGAGATGAACAAATGACATTACCAAATCTATTCATTTTGATGGCGAGGCTATGCAAACGAAATTACCACGTTTATTTTTGATTTCTTATGAAACAAACACTGCGATTATTCAATCAGAATAAAAAATTATTGGAAAATGTATTAAGTGCTAAGAAAATCCTTGAATTTTCTTAAAAACGAAAAGGCATGCTTCGCAGTCAAAACCCCAAAAATTCGTTTGTGAGTGTTTATAATCGTGTTTTTCTTGCTGAGGGATAAAAGTGTACACGACTGCGATCAGCCCATAAATAAAGTATGGTCAAAAATCTAAAGTCTCTGGAAGATACCTGATCAATGTATAATTTCAATAAGTTCCTAAAGATGACATTAAAAATATTCAACGACGATGAGTCAGAAATGGCTGATTATTATAAATAACATTAAATATGGAATGGCAATCAGGAAAATGATGGATTTTCGAGTGTAATGGAGAAAACTGTGAGAGTGAACTCTAAAAAACTTCGATGTTTCCCTATGAGAAATGATATTTGAAACGTGCCGACATCGCTAATCATTAACCCAAAACCTTTAATGTTAAGGTTAATCAGAAAAAGAAAGCTTTCGGCACCTTGGAGAATGACCCTTAAACGAAGTTACTCATTCCTTAATTATTAAAATGATGCATGACAACGACTTCCAACAGGTATTTTTCTTGTTCACCTATTAAAAGTTTGAAAGCCATTTATTACCAATTTCTTTTAGTTTTACTTTAAACTGATTACGCTTAATATCAGTTAATTAAGCAAGGTGTATTTGCATAACCAACGCGCGTTGCTATGAAAATGATGAATGTGCTAAAACGCGTACAATTAAAAATACTAGACTCTGTGAAATAAAATACTGAAGTAATGTGCTACCGATAATTCATGGAAGTTTTCATGAAAACCGTTATGAAGCCCTTCGTGAAAAACTGTCAGGAGTGTCCCGAGGATTTTCAATTAGAAATAGCAGATTTATGACTAAACTACTCAAACATGTGGAAGTAGTGAAACAACAATGGTTTATGTAAACACAGCAAATGAAAGACAATGAAAATACAACTTTGGCTTCGAACTCACCACCCTTCCAGCCTTCAAGTTATGTCGATATGTTTTGCGCATGAGGTCGTGTGTTTTCGATGAGTGTTTTGGAGTCAGCAACTTCCGTGACGTAATGAGGCCAAATTTGACGCTGTACGAGCAGCCTCCCCATTGCCATGCCTGGTTGCTCACATGTTGATCGATATTGCAGGAACAACTGGCCAGGCGACCCTCCGCACATGCACGCGCAACGCTCCATGCAGCCCCTGCAGAAGAAAGAGCAACCAGGAACGCCGCCTCTTTATAACCTGCAAAAACATCTGTGCAAAATCAACAAGTTTCGTTCAGGGGTCTAAGCGATTATGCAGGATCCGTATTTACGATTGGAGATATGGAGATATAGGTTGAGCGTGCAACTGCTAGCGTGACCTTCGATAGAAACATTGAATGAAGCATATGTGGAACGGTGATTAAGTTAGAGTGAAAGAACCAATAGTCACCGTTCGTTTCTGCGAATACGGAAAAGGGCAAAAAGCTCTAGCGGCACGGTAAAAGGCACAAAGGAAGAAAGTTCCAAGGTCAATGGAGCCATAAATCTTAACAAATCTTAACGATTCTTCGGCATTAAAGCAAATCATGCAGGATTGAAGTACGTTTGGAAGGGCAGCACAAACAAACAAAGTGGATCACATTTCTGTCACGGAATAAAACAAATGCCAATTGGAGGATGATTGAAAAAATAAGTAGAGACAACAGCTTGCAGCGAAGTGCAAAGCATTCCTAGATACTATTCCCAATGAAAGTAACCGTGTTCAGTATTCTCGAGGGAAGTCGCATCAGGCGGAACAGTTTAAATACTGAAAGCATAAGCTGTAATCGTATAGTTTCTATGCGCTACTGATCAAAATGATTTGACTTGTTCAGTTTTCTTCCAAAATAATAAACGGGGTTTCCGAAATGATGCTTATCATAATTTTCTGCAATACTATGGCAATTGGGAACCAATCCCTATCTTTTTCTTCAACAAATATGTCATAAAGGCATGAAAAAATAAATCAACTCATGGCTATGGTTGCCCCATGTTGATCAGCAGTTCCAACGCCAACTCTGTACATTAATTTCCTGCCGACATGACAGACAGCAAATTAGAGTACAGTTGCTAATGAAATGTATGGAATCCAAAATGTCAATTTGCCATCCATGTATGGATGAAACAAACAGAATATGGCATAGTATGTGGAGATGAAATGCAGTACAGTGTAATTTCTTCAGTGGCAACAGACATTTTTAAGACTTATCGTGAAACCTGAAACGACACAACTCTGAAGTCTTGCTTATAACGACAAATCGGCTAACAGAAAACCTGGTAAATTGAATTAAAACTATTCGTTATATGGGATATCAGATTTTAGCTCAAAATTTCTAAGCGATGGAAAACATGGGAAGTTAAACTCGAAAAAGATGAATACATTTATTGGTCATTTTTAAAATTATCAAACAGCACATATGTTTGATTGATGGGGAGGGGGAGGGTAGGATTGCCAATCACTACAAGATTAAATTATTTAGCTTAGTCACTAACAAGAAATTAAACCATCTGAAAGAAAAAGCCGTGAAAGTGAATCAGTATTAAGTTATGCCACAGAATGTAGCGCTCGGATCGACACTCAATGCACACCGTCATCGATTGGCCAAAATGCTCTGGTTATGACCATATATGGTATCGTTAATAAGGAGATAAATAGAATTAGCAAAAAATTGGGAAATTTTGTCAAGTCGAGGAGTTGAAACTCCTGTATGGCTCCTTGTGAGGTTTTCTGCCTCCGCACGTACCAGCCGCTGCGAATAAAAGAAGGATTTCTAAGGCCAGTCAATGGACCACCTTATCTTGAAGAAGGTCCGCGAGACACTGGCAGACATGACCGTGCAGATTTTAAAATTGCGCATAAATAACCTAATGATAACCTTGCTTTTTGCTGGTTTCTTTTGATTTATTTTAGTAAATATATTTTTCCGGCATTTAAGAATTCATGTCAGAGAAATAGAAAATACCTGTCAACCAAAGAAGGTGAATGTTTCTTCGAGGAGTTCAGGTGTCATACAGCAAATACACCTGTCCATCCAAAGATAGGCTTAATTCAAAATTAATCATTTCTTTTGAGACAGATATTGGTGGTGACCAATGGTTTTTCCGCTTAGGTTTGCAGTCAGATTATTTTTTGTGAGGAAGATTTACCAAACATAAGAAAGCGTATCATCTGCCTATTGTAGCTCATTTCATCGTTATTTCAGGCTATAAATTTAGAGCAGTACTTGTCAACATTCGTATTTTCCGACCGCTTGAAATGGTAGGCCAGATTTATATAAAGCATACATTGCTGTAAAGAAAGTCCTGTTTTTTCTGGTAAGCGGAT